TTGATCTCTTTTTTGCCCATGGAGTATTCGAAATTGTCTTACCCCAATTTGTGGGGTTCCACCAAGAATTGGCCAGAGTCTTTTTGACCGATATAATCATTAGTATCATTTAAATCCTTCATAATATAATTGCAAACTTGCAAATCGCTTCCATTTTCTCTTTAAGCTGATTTTAACCCAAAAATTCTTATTTTGCAGTTAGGAGGGAAAATCTTTGACAAATATATCATGATTCACAATCCCTATCCTCTTCCTCTTGAGAATACAATCAGAAAGTGTGATCATAAAATCCCAGATTTTTCAAAGCTTGACCTCATGAATGCATTTAACCAGATCTTAGTGGTGGAAGGCAAAGAGTGGCTTACAGCGATTAGGACCAAAAGGGGCATATTTCAGTTCCAAATGATGCCATTCAGCTTGAAAAAAAGCTCAGGCTACGTTTCACAAAAGATCAATAATGTGCTTGGTGACCTCAGGTTCACTTGCATAGTGTCATACATTGATGATATCCTTGTTCACTTTCTCACTCAAAAGCAGAATGAAAAGGACCTGGAGGCAGTGTTGGATGCATTGTACAAGTTGGGACGTAACATAAAAATCTCCAAATGTGAGTTCTTCTGGGAGGAGATTACCTTCCTCGGTAATGTGGCTCTTAAGAATTGGTATTCCATTCACCCCACCAAGCTTGAGATAATAATTGAGCGGCCCACTTTCATGAATCAAAAGCAATTGTGGAGCTTTTTGGGCAACATCACTTTATTTTAAAAAATTTCCTGCCCTCTCGTAGCTGGATGCACCACTGCATCCCCTGAACGGGAAAATTGTTCCATTCTACTGGAAGGAGGAGTGCCAGTTGGCATTTGATGCCATCAAGGAGGTGTTTTGGCGCCTCCCATTCTCAAACTTGTGGATCTCACCAATCTGGTTATCACACCATGTGACGCCTCATTAACCACTATGAGGGAAGTATTACTGCAATAACACAATGGTTTGAAACAACCAGTTGCCTACTTTTCTCACAAGTTTGCTTTATCTTAATAGTTCTGTGCCATCTACAATAAAATGTTGGCTGCCGTGTCATGGTCACTTACCCACTGACGGTACCTTCTGAATGGTGCACAGCATGAGGTAACCGTGTGGATTTTCATCAGGCCCTTATGTATTATGGAAGCCAAAGAAGCTGGTACATTGTCACCCCAGATGTATCACAACTTCTGTAGTTTTTATTCTAATTAAAGTTTGGGGAAGAGGCTTTAAATGTTCTTTACAACCTACTGAGTTACAGCTCTGCGTTGAGTTCAGCAGAGGTATATGAGCAGGAGTTAATCACGGTAAATCGCTGAATCAAATACTAACCATTGCTCCTCTCATAATTTCAGTGGCAAATTAGGTTCCAGGCATGCTCTGGTCTTTTGGGTAGCAGCAGGTCAAACAGCCTATATGGAAGTCCTGGATTTTTTAGACCAGCTAGTGATGCCAATTCATAGGCGGTCTAATTATTCATTGGTGTAAGGGGAATTCAGTTTCAGTCAAGACTGTGGGGGCCACCTCAGCTCCGCAGTAAGGCCATTAATGATCAACAAACCCCAGAAGTTGGCTGCTAAGGAAAAAATGCCTTTATTAAGTCAAAGGACGTACTACTGGCCAGGGATTTTCAAGGATATTATGGTATGGATCATAAATTGAATAGTATGGAAGCGGGACAAATCAGATAGTTCAGGTAAAAATGGTCTTCTTTATCCGCTACAGCAGGCATAGGTCCCTTGGACTTCAGTTTTACATTGTTTTCATTGTTGTGCTCCACAGCTCCAATGGGTTTACTGTTATGGCGATCGTGGACCGTTTCTCAAATTCTCACTCTTCATCCCATGTTTTTCTGCCATCACTTCTGAAGAGACCGCCCAGCTCTTTGTGCGCCATGTGTTCTTAATGTTCATTTTTCATAAGTAGATTGTGAGTAACCGTGGTCACAGTTAAATACGCAGCTTTAGACTGAGCTCCTTAGTATCTTAAAGACTGAGCTATGCTGCTCCAACGCATAGTCTCCTCAGTCAAGTGGTAAAATGGAGCGAGTTAATCAGGTTCTTGAACAATATCTCCACTGTTATGCTACGGCTGCGCTGGACAACTGAGTGGATGATCTTCCGTTAGCTCATTTTTGTATAATAATGGGACTCACAAATCTACTGAGGTCTTGCTGTATGAGGACATGTTGGATTTAACCTCAATTTTTCAGTTGTTCCATGCCTTTGTCTAGAAGATCTGGCTGCGGCAGATCACATGCAGCACATTTGTAGAGCCCAATCCCTGGTTTGAGAGAAAATGATTAAGGCTATAAATGATTAAAAATGGTTCACATTTCAGAATTGTCTCCTTAGACATGAGATCATGGTGGGACTCCATCATGTTGGATATGTGCCACCTGCAGATGAAGGTGAACTACCATAAATACGCAAGCAAACACTCCAGCCCTATGTGGTGGAGGCGTTTTTGGTCAATGGAGCGTTTCTGCTAACACCCAAGCTCACATGAGACAAAACCTTTTTTCCACATTTCACAGTTGTCCCCATTTAGGTGGAAGCCCCAGTGGAGCCAGAGCTTTTCATGGTCAAGGGATAAAAGGAGGCTGAAGTCAAGGCAATCTTAGCTTCCCAGAGACCTCACTGTTTAATTCAATATCTCATAGCCTGGAAGGGGTTCCTATTGTTTGAGAACAGTTAAGTCAGCACCCAGGGCTGTACCAATTGTGGTAGGTGGTAGAGCCCTTTCATACCCTGCACCCCGATGCTCTCTGCGCCCAAAAATTCGCCATGCTCTTGGCCAATAAGTTTCCAAAAGCCACAATAATGTCACAATTGCTTAAGTTCACAAAGAGGTGATACCACTGTACAAAGAAGAAAGAATAATGTAAGTCTATGGGAGCACCGCCTGCATCTGAACTGCATGGAAATCCTGTTCCAAACAAAGAATGGGGCAAAGAAGGCATCCGTCTCTCTTGCGACCCAGGGTGATTTGGCCCATGTGGTGGACAAAAGGTGGGTGATAGCGTACCCCCTCAAAGTTTCCCCTTTCCCGTTACCTCACTACTCAAGAGTTGGTGCAACGGATTAGGTATGTGTGTAGAGGTGGTGGCGGTAAGAAGCTGCCGCCTGGGGGAAGGTAGTGGGCATTACACCTCTGCGATAAGTTTGGGTTCTGCTGAGGGGGGCCAAAAACTAATAAATTGTGGTGTGGCAGAATTGTGCTTGTTGTGGTGAAACTGGGTTTGGACCTTGCCAGGGTGTTTACCTTCTGCCAGAAGAGGTGGTTCCCACACCAGGGCCTTCAAGGGTTGTGAGATTATTTGATACTTAACGGGAGCATCCTTATACAGCCTGGTCATGGGTGCAACCAGTCACCCGCTGGACAAAGCGTTGCTGATCTACCAAGAGAAATCATGGTGGTATAAAAAATTTAGTGGCGAAAATTTTAGCAATAGTTGGCTGGCCAACAAAAAGTTGATTTATTGTCAAGTTAGTTGTGAAACAATGATCCTGCAGAATTCTTTGGATTGCACATCCTTAGTTCATGAAAACCCCATTTTTCCTTAATTCCCCGTGAATTAAGACATTTGTCCCTCACATGTACAGTTGGCAGTCAATTTTAAACTTTAAATTAATATGCAACAGATTCCACCTTACTGTTTACCAGTTAAATTTTTATTTGCTATCATAGTGGCCGCTCAATAAGTGCCATGTTCCTAAAGTTGCATAATGATAAGGCTTTAGTGGCCAGTATCAACACGTTTCTACCTTCTATCCTTTAAAGTTGACGAGTCAGTGGTCTGTTGAGGATGCCCCCTCTTTTTGGACGCCATCTGGCGTCATGATGTACCATTGCTATTGGAGATACTTTTCCCCCGATGGGCAAAGTTTCAAAACTTTTCTACATGATTAGCAACCCGTGATACCTCAGCGTGTTAAGGGCTCTCTGTTGGACCACCAGAGTTGACAGAAGAGTAATCTACGGTCACCACAGCAAATAAAACTTGGATGCTTATTGAATGGTGATAATAGTAATTGGTAGCCATCATCTCTCAATCACTTTTTCTTCTTGCCGGATAACAATTCATATAGAAGGTTATGCCCCCAGCATTCTGGCCTGCCTTCTGGGTTCTCACTTATCCCGACTGGCAGGCAAGCTCAACTTTCATTAGCTGGTTCCATGACACATAGCCCCTCTCTGTCCCTGTACCCTTAAAAGACAGAGCTGGTAATGGTGAACCCTCCAGAAAAAGTCCTGTCCAAGCCCTCTAACGTGGGTGCCATATTTTTCACCAACACGCTTCCCTTAAACCTTGATACCCACCAACTATTCCAACCACCGCCCTTGATAACAATACTAATTTACTGATTAAACCAACCTTATAAACTAGACTTTAATCCAATTGATGCCTAAACCTCCATCGTATATTTGGAGTTCGCCAGCTTAAACTGCTAACCATGAAGATTAATAACTACAAGACAATATAGACGCTGGCAAGAGTTTATTAGATGGTAAAACCAAAAACATATGGTGATATAATTCCTTAATTGAGTATGAGTCCCCTCCTTGCATTCCTGATTCAAAGAGAGCATCACAGCCCATCAACCATAGGCCTATCATAGCATTAAAATGCATCAAATGATAGAAAGAGTGCTTGTCTGGAATTTGATAACAAAGGACGTCCAAAACTGGTAGGAGTGTTTTTTCTGCACACAGTCAAAGTCAGAATAAATGGACCAGAACGGCCTCCTACACCCCCTCCATCATGCAGCGGGCCATGGACATCTATATCAATGGACATATCATGGCCCTGCCAACTTAAAAAGGTTCAACATGGTCATGATGGTGGTAGATTTTTTTATGGAAATTGCCATATTCCCCCTTGCTTGACAACAACTATGGAAAAAGACATGGCGCGTCTATTTATGGCCCACGTTTTCTCACTATTTAGAGTTCCACAGAAGGTGAACACTAAGAGTTGGAAGTCTAGTTGTTAGGGCATTTGGCTACCAACCTGAAGGTTGCAGGTTCAATTCCTGCCCACACTTTGCACATCAATCGAAGTGCCAGCCAAAGGAGCTATTGGCGGTTATTATGTCCAACAACATGAAAACGTTACCCATGACGTAACTAGAAATAACTGAGTCCCATTCTGTAGGTGTAAAGCTTTAGTCAATGGAGTTGACCCTGCTCAGGTTTCATGTCACTGTTTACTTTCTTTCTTTTACTAATGTCCATCCCCTGGTCGACTTGCCACAAATTAATAAAAAAAATAATAAAAGGAGATGATCACCAACAGAGGCTGCAGTTTATTTCATAATTTTGGGTTTTCAGTGTGAGAAGCTAAGAATAAAACAATGCAGATTGTTGGGGTACTACTCATTTATATGATGGACAAACAGAGCAGACAAAACAATTGTTAGAACAGTACCTCTGGTGCTACGCTACCACATCCCAGGATACTTGGGTGGCTGATTTCCCTCTAGCCCAATTATCATAAAATTAATACCTTTACATATTAACAGGATGTTGTCAATGTACGCCAACCTAGTTACAGCCAACCTTCACCATTGGCCCCTAGATATGCACCAATATCCCAGTGGCGAACAACTTCAAAGCAAAAATCCAGAGGGTGCATCAACAAACTCATAAGCATTTGACCAAGTCAACATATGATGCCAAAAGTTCAACAACAGGATGCTTCGCATGGCCCCTAACTACCAAATAGGAGATTTCGTTATAGTGGACATGATTCCTAACATCTTTAGGTTTATATAGGAACTGGCAATTAAGAAAGCAGGGCTGCTTACATTAGAAGATTATTAAATTAAAGGGTCCTTTTACTTGAACTTCCAACACAATGGAAGAAACCTACATCCTCTCATGTCTCCTTGCTGTCTCACTTTAAAGGAAAGATGCCAGCGGATGCTGAGCCCAACATAAAAGAAGGAGTACTGGAGTTTGAGGTGGTGAAGATTTGGACTTGCAGCAAGTCAAACGTGGATCCACTATCTGGTTGTGTGGAAGGGGTGCTCAGGATAAAAGAACATTTGGGTTCCCTCCTGTGATTGCACAAACTTACACAATCTAATTGAAGAATTCTGAGCCAACAACCTCAAGGCACTCGCGTCCCCTCTTACATGACAGACAGCATTACAGCTATCAAGAACTTACCATAAAAATTTCGCCTTAGTTAGGTTTCAAAGGAGGATGGAACCCATACTTTGAAAAGATATTGTAAGGGCTTGATCCGCAGCAATTAGGCTTGACATGAAATACACCCCTTTTAGTCAAAGAGGAGCGCTAACTTATGAGCCCTACCTCTGGAAAAGATTTCAGGTTTGAATAACACTATTGGAAAGTTCTGGGTGGCTGCTGCAACACGATTTTACCAAATTAATCCCAAACCATCAATTCCCCTACCCTCTGTCATTACTTAACCTGCCAATTTTCATTTAGATAGGATAGTTTCATCTGCGACATTGTTCACAGCCTAATCAGCAGATTACAAATAAGCACTTGACCTCAAATGTGAACAGGAAGTCTGAAAACAGTTAAACGAGATTCCCACAAACAAACAGAGCAGCTTCCCAATAAAGCACTACTTGAAAAGCTTTGTGGCTGAAGAGACTATGTAAAAGGTCAGACAGAAAGTATTATATTATCTCAGTAGATTTTAAAGACCTCAAAATTAAGGTGTTGTATGAGATAGTCGTTATATTTAATTTCAATAGTCAATTTGAATAGTGAAGCACCAAGGAATAGGAAAGGACTGTCCTTAGAGCCTATGTGTGAGAAAATTCCCCAAAGGCAGCTGCAGTAAGAGCCACAATGCCATATAGGCTCAAAATGGAAATCATAAGTCAAATAATGCAGCTCACAAGGTTTCATTTTTTAATTAAGATTTGTTCTCAGAAAAAAATAAAAGCAGATTCCTCAAGAAAGAAGGCGCTGCTGAGAGACACTTAATTAATATAAATAAAAAATTGGAGGAAAAAGCCTTCATCAATACAAGTCTATAATGCAAGAGTGGGGATCAATCTAGGGGATTAAGCCCAGGATAACTTTCAAAATTTGGAATGGCCCTAAAATGTCATCAAAGCGCAAAATTTTAGCTAGTGCATGACAATAAGACTTTCCAAATTCCCATAATTTGATAGTCTTTTTTTACTTAAACGAGGTAAGCTGACCAGGGGACGGACATTACTGAACTAAAAACTAAAACTATAAACTAACATAACTAATCAAATCAAACAAAACGCCAAAATGAACGGATTGAGTGAGACACACTGAACAAAACAACCAACCAGGTGGGCAGCGGGGGAGACCAATTTTCCCTCCATGGCAGAAGGGGAGGGGGATCAGGGGGCTCATCTTCAGAAGCAGCTTCCTCATCTCAGAATAGGGTACATGTCAAGGCAGAAAGCAAGGGCGTCAGGGCATCAGCATCATGTAGTTCAATACCTTTATTGTTTGATACTTCCAAGAAATTGACAACCATAAAAATGGCAGTGATATATTTGGCTAAGGCTTTTTTAGCTTTAATGTGGGCGTCTGGTAGTTTAACGAACATGGCAATATTGGTTCAGGTAATCTTAGCTTTTGACTCCATCCTACAGTTACCACGTACTGGATACCGTCGTTGACATTTTTGTGTAAATATTTCATATTAATCTTACTTTTTGGAGTAAGATTTATGGGGATAACAGGAGGTGGAATCCCTCCTGTGAGCGTCGCAACTGATTTGGTGGCAGCTTTGCGGAGAGGATGGCAATTTGGTGTGGTGGCTGCTTCTACTGCAAGCTGGTAGTCACTGTAGAATGATTTGGCATTTGGCTGTGGGGCATATAAATGAGGGGGAATTCTACGTCCCATTTTGCATTGCAGAACTGGTCAACTTGCAGAGATGGTTCTTCAATGATATAACCTATTTCGTTGATTTCATCCAAGAACTCCCATGGGTTCTGGTTGAATTGAATTGGTGAATCAGCATATTGTTGAGGATTGGTTGGTTCTCTGGAGGATGCATGGGATTAAACTGGGGTCCAATCCTATGCTAGATTTGGTGTAGCGTTTGTGGCACTGGGGCGAGGAGGAGGCTGTTAGATGGCTTCAGGTGCAGCTGCATCATCAGGATTTGGGGGGAGGGGGAGGTAGGATTGTACCTATATCTGGAATTGGTGCAGGGTGGGTGGCAGATTGGTGGCCATTGAAAAACTATCAGCGCCATCAGAAGCAGCTAGGGATGGGCACTTGCATTTTAAGTGGTCCAACTCAAAACAGGATGGACAGATCATCCGTCCGCCCTTGACACAGGCCCAGAACGTATGGTCAGGGGCAGAGGGGATAGAGGCGCATGGAGGAATCAATGGGGAAATTTTGTATATTTCAGGGCCGATTGTGGCATATTTCCGAGGCCCAGCTAGGCGTGTGGCCCCATTTGGGACCACAAATTGCAAGATGGGGTTGTAGCCATAGACTGCCAAACCTTCTATCAGCTCCTGGTGGAGCACCTCAGGGGGAAGGTTGGTGGGCAAACCAGCGAACTGAACCACCAAAGTAGTGTCCGCTGGGAGCTGGGTCCAAATGTTTGGAGAGGAGTATACTGGAAGACCAGGGGCACAGTTTCTGCAGTGGCGGCATCAGTTTCACAGGTGAAAGTGAGATCAAAATACCTTTATAAGGGCGGAAGTCAATAAAACAGGTGGGATGCATCACTGCCTGAGCCATTTCAATAGTGGCTTGGTCATTGTAGGGGAATGGTTTCTCATATTTGACCCTAAGGCCAAAACGCATGTTGCTCCAGGAGAGAACCAGGGGCAACAGGGCACCACTTGGGTTTGAGTGAGGTGGGCGTCAAGATCCTTGGGAGAAATGAATCATCCAGGGGTTTGGTATAACTTGGCGAGCTAACCTGAGCGCGTTTCCTGTCAGACGGAAAATGGTAAGGGAAAGTTTCGCCACTGCCCCACACTAAGGCAGCCATCAGGGGATCCAATGACATCAGAGCAAACTACTTTGGGTGATTAAGTTTTACTTTTTAATCCATATAACTATGCTCGGAAGGTTACACTGATAGGAAAGATAATTTGATAGTCAATAATTAGTTATTTTAGCTATTCTCACTTGCTATATACTAACCCATTGTATTTTGTTAATTCCATGTTCTCACTTTGGGCATTTTGGATCAGAAAAAAAAATTAGATTATCCTCCATTTACTCAAGGTGTTCCATTGTATAAAGAAAGGGCATCAATACAATTGGAACACTAAAAAAACTATTCTTCACAGAAACTGATGCAGAAGAGGAACAAATTGAAAATGTACTTTTGTTTGTGGAACTTTGGGACAAGATATTTGCTCAGCCACAAGAGGTCTGGTGGTATAGCAGGAATAAAAACACATTATTCTCACTACTGTGGGGTAAGCTACATATAGATCCTTTAAATCCTAATAAAACCTGAGATTAAAATTAGGAAATCTGAAACTTTTTTTCTTGTTGCAATCATTTTTGCAACCTATTCAATTCAAGACTGAATCTAGTTTAATAATCTCACAGAGGAGATTAGTCTGCGCCCATGTCATGGAGCAGTTGGGCAAGTAGGGTAAGAGGAGCAGGTGGAAGGCCTGTGGCCTCCAATGTTCAAAAGCGCCCTGGAGAAACTGGAGGAATAGACAAAAATTTAAAAAAACTGGCGGTCACTATTTCCCCAGAGATACTCGCATGGCAAGCACGATGCAACCAGTATATCAACACACCACACTCCCAGCCACTTTCATTGGTGGAATTCGGAGTCTGCATGTTTCTGGACATCCAACAAACAGCCTTATGGGAAAAATTTTGTGAAGATGTGCACACAATTTTTCTGACCGCGGTGTACATTGAACCTCACTCCATGTCACGCGGTTGGCTGGACCTAAGTTTCAAAAGCAAAGAGGCAGCAGACGAGGCTGCGGTGGTGCATGTAGAGGTCGACCTCCCTGAAGGGCAATGGGTTGTCGAAACTAAATGCACCAGATAGACAAAATCGAACCAAATTTTCCTCACG